GAGGGAAGTAGAGTTCGGCTTTTGTAGGGATAAGCATCCTTATTAGATATCCAATACTAAGTGGTCAGCCCTGAAAACATACATACAAGTAAAATTAAACAGATCGAGCAGGTAGTATTTATCTTCCTTATACATAGACACACATATTTGTGAACACACACACCACCACCACCACCACCACCACTACTAACAACAACAATTGCTGAAAAGAAATAGGTCATGTTAAAGGAAGCAAATACAGGTACATGGGAGGGTTTGGGCGCAGGATAGGGAAGGGGAAATGATGTAACTATAATCTCAAAAAGTTTAAAAATTTCAAAATAATAGAAGAGCTGTGATGTATGCCGATTCCCAAGCAATATGGCATTTACAACACTCAAAGTTTTGGGTTGTCTTCAGAGCTTTGCCTGTGGCTCAGCCACTGATTGTTAAAGAATGGCTTTAAGAGCAAACAAAGGAACAGTGAGTTCAATTCTGATGCCATTATTGTGCTCCCAGTTCTCTGCTTGCTTCATGTTATTGGCAGCCCTCTTCCCATCTTCTAGTCTAGAAACATGCCTGGCTTCCTTTTTGATGTAGCAAAAAACTTGTCACAGTAAATAAATTTATGCCATTTAACTTTGTTGTAAGAGAGACACAAAACTTGCTTCTATTGTCCCAAGTTATGAGCTTTCTTCATGTTTGAGCTCCACAGGTGCTTTCTTCCAAATTCTTTTTTTTTTTTATAGTTTATTTTTTTCTCAAATCGTAATTCATTCACACAGGGGTTATAAACACAGAAAGGCAGGATGTGGGGAAGTGAATGACAATGGAGTGTGGGTGTTTAGGGGGAATACAGATATCTTCAGAAACGGGTATCAGCTGGGTGAAGGTTCAGGTGACAAGTCACTATGACTCTGCCTATGGCTCGCTTGTCCTTATCTAAGTTGGTATTGTCTGACAAGGCTACCTATTTACAAGGTCTATGACTACTCAGGCTTGTAAATTTCCACAAAAGCTGCCTGTTGACATTAGCTTATAGCCATCTGTTTCAATGTTTTTCCACTGAGACCCAAGACTTGGTGTTAGTATACATGTATGACAGGCCTATTGCTGATTTTAGGCCTTCAGTGTGTAAGCAGGGCTGCCCCTGACATCTCCTCCCTTCTCTAAGTATAGAAGGGCTGTGGCAATTCTAAACTTGTGAAGGCGGGGATTCAGGCATGACCTCCAGTATTTGAAGGGGATCTTGTAATGGTTCCAGTCCCCCTGTCGTTGTCCAGTGAGGCATGAGGACCATACCTGTCCTTGATGTCTTTTTCCTGGAGAGGGGATGCTTTTGACATCAACCCCTATGCAGTCAGGCTTGTCCCTCAGGGAACCCAGATAGATATTTTTATCTTTTATTTATATTCCCTTGCAGTGCTTAGCCTCGCAGCCTAAACAAGAATTCAGATCACCTGTCAGAGGGGGTTCTGGGTGGCCCCTCTCTGCTTGGTCTAGGGGCAGAAGTCCCCCCTTTTAGGTTGGGTGGAGATGGGTTTTGGAAACACCCTGTATAAAGTAACAACCTCATCTTGAGTCTCGTGGTCCTCCATAGCTAACTTATGATAATGTATCTGAGTAGGTTTTGCTACCAAATTATTTATCTGTTGTATCACAGAGTTAGTCCGCCTATTTGAGGGCCAGGGACCAGCAGAAAAAAGCAAAAAGAACCCAAATAATGGTCCCAAGATGGGAGGAAATAGGGTTGACAACCTTGGAGAGGCTGAAAACCAATTCTTGTACCAGCATTCATCTGTCTCTCTCTCTGATTTTTCTTAGGGCCTTCACTACCTATTTCATGCTCTCTTTAACCCTCCTTGTCTTGTCTATGTAAAGGCAACCTTGTTCTTTAAGGGCTGTACACAGTCAAGAGCTGTACACAGCCTTTTCTATTGTAATAGAGTAAATCAAGTCCAATAAGGATCTTTGCGGTTTTAGGAGGTCTCTTCAGACAGCGAAGCGAGGGATTTCTTCAGATTAGTGATGTCAATCTCTAGCTGTTTGATGTTCTTGTCAGTGGCCCTTCAAAGGTCTGAGTAGTATAAGTTCAGAGGCCAGCATCTGGATTGGAACTTCTAACAGCAGACATCACGGGTGATTCATTTTTACCTGGGATGCTGCCTGAGTTCAAGCTCCTGGGAGTGCCTCTTTCTCTCGGTTTTCTGGAGTTGGGTACAGAGCTGCTGCCTGTGACCTGCTCTATCTTCTTCCAAATTCTTAATAAAAAGTTATTTGACTTATTTCCTCTCTTTTCTATTCTCAATTTGTCTAGATTCATAATAGCAATATATTTTAATAAGTCACTACTTTTTACTAAAGAATTTTACTTTGCCATACTTTTCTTGTTTTAAAGTCAATTGTTCGGTATATTTTCATACAATTTTTTAGAAATTACCTCTGTGCAATGTGAATGTTGACGGGTGTATGCTATAGGTCACATGTGAAGTCAGAGGACAACACACAAGAGTCAGTTCTCATCTCCTACCATGCTGAGGCAGGTCTCTCTTGACTCCTCTGTTCTCCTGTATACTCCATGCTAGATGATTTGAACATTTCTGGGTTATCCTGTCTCCATTTCTCATCACACATAGCACATGCTAGATTACAGATTAGTACCACTGCATCTGGCTTCTTTATAAAAAAGGATTTATATGTATTTGTTTACGTGTGTGGGTTTGTGTTTCTGTGTGGAAGTATACAGAATGTGAATTTGATGAAGATGCCCTGGGGCTGGATTTTAGGCATTTGTGATCCACCTGCTGTGGGTCCTCTACAAGAGCAGTATACTCTCTCTTAACTGAGCTCTCACTCCAGCCCCTACTTCCAGCTTTTGAATGTGGGTTTCACATTAAATGCACATTCATGTGCTTATCATACATGCATGTCAATCTCACCGGCCCTGGAGTTTTCTATGTTTAAGTACAATCAATAATCACAATTTACACACTACTATTAGCACAGTGTAAAAGCTCAAACAATGACAGGTATGGTTTATAGAAGGTAGACTCAACTAATGTTTGGTTAGCCCCTTTACTTATATGTTAAGCAACTGATAAAACAAAAAATACAGCTCTTTTTAAAAACTAAAATCAGAAAGTAATTTTTGAAAATAAACCTAAACTTTGAAGTTTCATTCTTATCCTCATAGAGGGAGGGCGAATGATTACAAAGATAAATGGAATTCAAATGGATTTTCTTTGGCTCACCCTTTTAAGTTCCAGGGCATTTTTAAGTTCACTAATATGCCAACAGAGGCCATATGACAGCTGAGGAAGTAGTGCTTATGGATCCTGTTTAATGCTAGGAGTGCTTTCAGCAGCAGGAACCCAACAAGGGCTTTGCCCATTACAACGCTTAGTCTTATTTAATACAGAGACTCAATGGTGTTATGGATTAAGAACCTTTCTACTTTCTAGTCAACCATCCCCACTGACTTGACTGTGAACAAAGTTTGGAATCCCTGTAGGATGGTTAGTGTTGTAAACTTATCAGAATCTAGCATCACTTGGAAGAAGTGCCTCTGGTGTCTGTAGGAGACTATCTAGATTGTGTTAACAAATATGGAAAAACTCATCTTATTTGTGGGCAGGATCACTCCACGAGCAGGGTATCCTGGACAGTTTAAGACAGGGAAAGCAAGTTGGGCTAAACTGGCATGCACAACTGTTTTTCTCTCTCTGCTTTCTGACTCTCTATGATGACCTGAACTCTTGAACTGTGAACCAGAATATGCTCCTTAATCCTTATGCTTGTTTTGCCAGGGTATTTAATCTCAGCAACAGGTAAAAAAATAAATAAATAAAAAAGACACAAGATCCCCTCATTTCTCACCAGCGAAGCATGAGATAGTGGATCACACAGGTGTTCCCTGAGGAACACTTCAGCTCACATCGAGCGGTGATCATGTAGACATGTAAGGTGGGTGGTCAAACATTTAGGTAAGAAGGTTGTAGAAGAAAGAACACTGAGTCAACTAGGGGCATTTCGTTCAAGTTATTATTAAGTATATCAGAGCCAGTGACTTAAAAATAAAATGTGATTTGCTCCCTAGTAAGCATCACCTGTTAAATTCAATGTGTTGTGTGGTAAAGTGCAAGGGAGCTTTCAAAATAATAAAGCTCACTGTAGAGATTACTTACTGTGACTCTTGAGTTTACTACACAGGGTGGTAAAGAACACTGACCTAGTTTTAAACTGTGATATGGCAACTATCACCACCACCACCACCATCATCACAATCCAGCATCACCATCACTGAGTGATCCCACACCTGGCATCTCTAAGGGCATCATCCTGGCCTAACAGGATGACCAGAGACGTTCCATTTACCCCCCAAGGTTTCAAAACTGGTAATACTCGAAACCAGAAATTAAACAAGAAGTTTAGATTGAGGACTGGGGACATAATGCAGTGGTAGTTGCATGTATGCTTAGCATGTGAAAGGCTCCAAGTTTGACTCTCAGCCCCACAACGATCAATTGATGACTCACTTGATTGATTAACCTTGCTTTATCATGCAGTGTCTCTATTGGAGCAGAGCTGCGCTGACACAATGACTGAGCAAGTCAGAGTTGATTAGTTGCCCCAAAGAAGCCGGTTTGTCTTCCTAGGCCCAGATTACAAATTCTGCTTGTGTAACTGGATCAAGAGGAGAATATAGGATCCTGATTCCCAGAGGGGAAAGCAAGCAGAGGGTGAGAATAGTTGTTTCCAACATACTGGTCTGGACCATCCATCCCATTCTGCTTCTGCACATCTTCAATTTCTACTTGCAGACCAAGAGCAGTGAATGCCATCTGTTCAATAATCTTGATGAAAGCATTATTTGAAGAGAAATATGATGTTTAATTTTAGGCATGGAAAGATCAAATAAATTACATCATACCAAAGGACGGAATTTGTTCCACCATGGAAAAAGCAGCACAGGGTAGAACAATTATAGCATATTCATGTGCTAAACAACTTTCAAGCAGAGATATTGTTTGAAGATACTTTATTAAGATAAAAAACTTTCCATTACATTTATCTATAAATCCATCAAAGACCAAAGGAAAATAAATAAAAATCTGAATCTTTAGGGACATTTTTCACTCCATAGTTTTATAAATCTGAGTTTACATGTTTGCTCACTTATAATTACTACAGTTTAGGTACACTTGATGATTATATATAACAAGGAATGTCAGCCTCATAGACACCAAGTTTCCATATTACTTGGTAAAACCATGGTTATTGTTTCAAGTTTATTTCTAACTGGGAGGTGAAGGAGAATAAAAGCACTTCATACCAGGTTCAACTTTAAATGGACAAACAATGAAACCTTGTTTTTCTAATAGTGGATGGCACTGCACCCCAGAAACAAGCTGCTGAAAGCTAGGAGCAAAGTGTTCTTCTTGGTGGTGGGAGTGCTGAGGCCAGAGAACACAGAGCAAGGCCAATTGAGCAGCCTTCTTTTGGCCTGACTTATATGTTTTAATTAAATCTCTATGTAAGCATCAAGAAATAGACCAGGTAAGGCTACATGTCACCTGATTTCTTAGACTGCTTTATTTCTTTTTATTTAGTTAGTTTTTAAAGAAAGATGTTCAGCTGTGGTCTAACAGGTGCATACATTTACATTTTCATGACATTTCATCACCTCTACCACCTACCCCAAATTTCCCAAGCACTACCCCAAAATTGAGAATGAAGACAACAATCACCAAATGAAGAAAAACAATCAGCAAAGTTATCTGAGGTATGAACATGGGATACCTAAAGTAGTCCAGAACGTCCTATGCTGGATACACTTCTCATCATTCTTGGCATAGAAACTTGCTTTATAGAAGTGGAGGCATTGCTCAAGGGAGAGAATATTCCACCCAAACCAACTCGTTAAGATTTGTGCTTCTAGACAGGCCATGCAGGGCAGTGATTTCAGAATAGGAATCCAGTAGCCTTCCTATCTTTGTTTGAGCTGCATGGCTTTAATGAATAAACACAGAACTTCCATGGACTGTGTTCATTAGTCCAATGATCTGACTTTTGGGCTTGAACATGTAATGAGGTCACTAGAGAAGTTTTAGTTTCTGCTTCACACAGAAATTTGACATTGTCTTAAGGAAAGCTGGCCATGGACACCACTAAACAGCAGCGAACACGTAACATGTGTGTGGACCTATCTGCCAAAAGGTCCAATATTTACATGGAATGTTGACCTTGCTTATAAAACTACTATTTTAAATTATATCTTTACATACAATTTATCTTATGAATAGCCTCATTTGATAATTTAAAAATATGCCTTTCAAATATCTCACAAATATATAAAACTTCCCTACATTTTATTTTTCTTTAAACATGACATTTAAACTCTTTACAAAGCAACAAAAATATATTTCTTTGTATGCAAGTCATAGATGTGACGAATCCTCCATTGCCTAAACTGCATTCTCAGAGGACTCGCAGGAACCTGATCTATGATTGAACTGTGGACATTTGTAGTATTGCAAATTATTCACTTGCTAGAGGCCTAAAGCATCATAGAAAAAGAAACAATGTGATCAAAAGATTTAAAAATCCATCTTCCTTGGGAATAGGTTGAGATACAATCTGGCCAGTGTTAATCATTTTGTTGACAAAAAAATTAACACAATATAAGGTTTCTAAAACACACTTTGGAACAATTTACATGAATGGGGATTGCACACCAGAAACATGAGTATCTCTTCCTTCACTGTGCTCTAACACATTTTACATGTTTTTGAATATTTATCTCATTCTTATATATGTTGAGAAATTCCAAAGCAAGAGAAGAAAACATTCTGACTCCAGAAATGTCTTCTGAAGAATGACAGATTAAAGCAAGAGGTGCTATGTGATCATTCTTTGCCCTAACTCACAACCAGTTTTACTAGACCATGAGGAAAGGTTTTTTATCTACATCTATAGTATCAGTTAAGTCTGTTTCTAAGCCTGACGCAGTAGTACATTCCCATACTCGGGAGGCTGAGGCAAATGAAGGCTGAGTTCAAGGCTAGTGTGGACAGCATAGTGAGACCTTCAACTTAAACAGGAGAATCAGGTTTTTGCTTATATATTAGTGGCATCACCGATATATACTCATAAGGATTTCCTAAGCTATAATATATGAGCTATTTCCTCAAGAAAAGATTTGAGTTTCTCCTTTGTTTTAAGATGTGCACACTAGAACATATTTTGTAAGGGCAGAGCCTTATGTCCAGCTCAGTTAAATCTGTGATCTGCTCAAGGCTGCCAAGCCCATGCTTTCAACTGAGGGCATGCACAGTGAAGGGCTGTGAGTGCACCTAAGTGCAGGCGAGGCATGAACTCTGACACACACTGCCTCTCACATCAGAGACAGGAATAGGTTAAAGAAAACCAAGAAATACAAAAGTTTGGCTAAGACTATAGCACTGTGCAAATTTTGACTTAGATTATACAGTCATGTGCTTCCAATAAGGCTGTAAAAGACATAAATAAAACCAGCCCTGAAATTTTGACTTTGACCATTGAAGACTTTACATCTATGACAGTGATACAGATTATTAAAAAGAAAAATCCTACCAAAAATATGGTAGTTGACCTAACCATGCAACTCTGTAAAAAGACAATTAAGGACATTTCCCTGAGTTATGAATGTAACCAACTCACTGGGACCCAGTGGGTATCAGTCTCTAGTTTGTCAAATGTTGTTTTTAGCTCATTAAATGCCACAGCAAGATCATCATTTATTATGATTTTGTCAAAAAGATGGCCATATTGACTTTCCATTATCTGTGCTGATTTAATCATTTCTTGAAAGTCTTCTTCCTATTAAAAACAAGTAACAGCAAATTAAGTAAGCAGGCAATTGTATTATTTCACATAAATGAAAACATTCTACAATGACTTTACCTAAAGCTGTTTATGTTCAGACTTTAAATGAAGTAAAAAACAAAATCATCTTCACTACTTTTTTAGAGGTTTTTACTGCTAACACAAGCTTTAACTGAACTCTTTTCAGGGTCATAACTAACTCACCATTACATGGACACATTGCTGTTATCATGGATATCAGGGTGCTGCTGACTCTGATGCTTTGGCTTGGCACTATTCATGTTTGTTCACAAGAAAGAATGTATAATGTAAACTACTTTCTTAATGTTGAAAGCATTATGGGACAATAGTTCAAATGTCCCTTCTGTGGTTCAATAGAAGTGTTTCAAAAGCCCTGTGGGACCACATAGATTTTTAAATGCCAGGAGCTATTTTAGCTAAGTATAAAACTCAGGACAGTACATTAAAAAGTACAAGCCACATCCTCAGACTATGCCATTATTTATAAATTATGTTTACTGAGAGTTAACTTTAGTGCTAGTCAACAACTTAAAATAACAACATGTGACAACATCTGTGCTTTAAGGACAAATGTCACCATTTCAGAACAAAGAGCAAACACTGGGAATCAAAAGCAAGATCCATGCTTTATAACTAAAATCAATAGTTCACAAATTAATGAAGACTAAAAGAAAGCTAATTAGATGAAAGAAAAAAAGGGCTTAATATTTATTTGTTGGTTTTTGATTCAAAGGTAAAATCTGAGAAGAATGAAAACAAAAACAAAGAAAACTTGCGAAGAGTCAATGATAGGCCAGAGTGACTCTATCTTAAAATTAGAAGCCATCTTATTACACAGCCAAAATAAATTCATTTATGTTTTCTAATAAAATGTAAATTTGACCAGGATTTCACCCATTTTCTGAAATTTGTTATGTTCCACACCCTATATCCTGACCTTTACACCGGGAAGGTAAGATGTTCTGCCAAATAATTTTAGAATGTTCAGCCAAGTTCCTACGTAATCAGAATTGTTCTAGAAATACCCTAATCATTGAAAAATCCCCTAGTCTTATAGGTATTTTTAGCTATATAAACCCCACCTTCTCCTGTGTTTCATGCTATTTTCTGAAACCTAGCTTTAGGGAAATATCCTTATTTGATAGAAAATAAACATTGAATAATCTGACCAAAGAATTTGAATAATGGTCTTTACTTTCAGTGAGATTAATATCAGGACAGCCACAAACATCTGAAGCCATAGCATCCAATGATACTTGTACAAAATACGAATTTCATCAGGGGACAGTGTAGGTCTCCTGATCCTATGACTACTTTTTACTGTGTTAAAATATAAAATATATTCCTGCCAAGCAGCCCATTCCCTTATCCTTGGCCCATGTCAGATTCTTGCCAAGCAGCCCCCAAAGCTCTCTGCCTCTCCCCCTTTTTTATTTCATAAACAAGACTGAGCCTGTCTTAGGTAGTTCTGACAAGAATGCCTTCCTTACCCATCATGGAATATGCATTATCAAAAGCAATGCACTTCTGTCTTAGGTTGGTAAGGCTCTGTGCAGAATCTTACTCAGGGAGAAAGAAGTAGGATTCAGGCAGGAGTCTAAATCTTAGGCTAGAACAAAGAAGTAATTTCAGGCAGGAATCTAAATCTTAGGCTAGAACAAAGAAGTAATTTCAGACAGGAATCTACAGTTTAGGATAGAACAAGGAAATAAGCTTCAGACATGAAAATGACTTTGAGCTAGGACAGGGAAGTTGGCTCAGATATTTTGGTCATCCTGATAAGCCCTTAGAAACAGTGTTCATGGAACTTTGTTTATTGCCTTGCTTGTTCTTTGACTATTTGTGTTTATTGTCTTACTTGTTCCTTGACTATTTGCATCTATTATATTGCTAGTCCTTCAACCTAGAACTGACCTTAATACTTGCATGTAATTAAAATGGTATAAAAACAAAAAGGAAGAGGGGGTATAGGATGGGGGGCTCAAGGGAGGGGAAATAGGGAAAGGGGATGACATCTGAAAAGTGAATAAATAAAATATCCAATAAAAAATAAAATATAAGGCAATAAAACAAGTTATTACAGTTTTTGATTAGACTATTAATGATAAACAGAAACTTATTTAGAGACTTTTAGCTTTAAAAAGATTAAATAAAATTAAAAGCTAAGTAGTCTCTTATATAAATGACTGGCTTAGGAAAAAAAATCAACATTCATGCATAATACCATACTTTTGTTGTTCCTTTTTCTTTGTTTTGTTTGGTGGCATTGGAAATAAACCCAAAGCTAAAAGCCCTAAAACACAGTTGTTGATATTACCATTGTAGTTATTGGTTTGAGGCACATACTCTTGCTTTTTAGACCATATTGGTTTCAAATATGCCAGATAGAAGAGAATGACCTGAATCTTGAGTGCTGGGCATTGCAGGGGTGCATTATAATATCCAGCTCTACAAAATAGCTCTGAGTCAATGTAATATGAACATCAATTCATAGAAACAAGAACTTACAGTGCCACCAATCAAAATGCACATACTAAACCTTTTCAGAGTTCTCAATCACAACTTCATCTATAACACTGTCTAAGTACTGTGTACAAGTATCTAGGTGCTATTTATATGGTGGCTAAGATCATGACACCCACCGTGAAGGGCTTTGCAGTCCCTTGGTCATCTCTGCTTGAAATAATCTTTGCATTTTTTCTTGTTTCTCTCAAACGCTCTATTGATGGAGGTTTTATGAATATCACATAGGGCTTGAACTCCAGTGTCCTTAAATGCTTCACTGTCTACAAGGAAGAAAAGGAATTTTTTCATATTTCTTCTTAATCTCTTGCATTCTGGATTTTGTAAGGAGAAAATTTCTTAAAACCATTCTTTAATTAAACAGGTTATTCTTCAATCAGTTCTTGACAATGAAGGTGACAATCTCATTGAAAAGAAGTTAGAGAGTGAATGTGACTTTTACTTCAGATATTTTGAATTTAACCATCACTAACATGGAACACAGTGGCTAAAAACGTCAGAAAACTAGGTTCTAGATCACACTTCTAAAAGATGTGATGATTGGTAACTTCTTGTCTGGAAGCTATCTATCTTCATTACATTCTCTGTTAGAACCCTAAAGGTTAACAGTTTCTGTAGCCTCTGTTCTACATGCTGTCTGCCAGTCCCCCCTCCCCCCCACTCCTCCATAGTGTGTCTTGTTTATCTTTGTTTGGAGTCAGAGTCCTACTATTGCAGCTCAGGCCTGTCTGGACTCCTATTGCTCTTGCCTCAGTTTCCTGAGTTCTGAATTATAGGTGTGTAGCACCACACCTATTTTGTTGTGTTAATTTATTCTTCTCCCACATAATACATCCCAACCAGTTTCTCCTACCTACACTCCTCTCAGTCTCCTCCCACATTCCTCTCCTCTCCCTCAGATCCACCCCTCCTCCATTCCCTTTAAGAAAAGAGCAGGCTTTACAGGGATATCAACCAAAGACAGCAAAGTAAGTTACAATAGGTCTAGGCATAAACTTCCTTTCAAGGCTGGGTGGCTGGGTGAAGCAGCCCAGTAGGATGAAAAGAATCCCAAGAGCAGACCCATGCAGGAGTGATGGTTCTTGCTTCAGTCTCTGTAAGTCCATGTGAGTTCTGCATAGTTCATTTTTATGGTCAGTGTTCTCCTGGTGTCCCCAACCTGACTTCTCAGCCTCCTAGAAATCACACCTGGGTTTTTTAGTGTTGACTTCTGCAGACTGAACTGTAGTGATGGGAAACTGACAGAAGGGTCAGAACTGAAAGATACTATATTATTGATTTTCTCATGAGGGCCTTATCAGAGGCTGCATGTCTTAAGGAGACAGACAGGGGCGGGGGGTGTTATGGTGGTGAGGATGGGAAGGGGAGAGGAGATGGCAGGAGTTGATGGAAGAGCTGGAGAAGCTCAGGTGAAAATGCATTCATGAGTCAGGGAGTAACAAGGTCCACATATAGGCAGGGAGTTCAGACAAGCCGAAATCCCCCGCTCCTTCCTGGTGCCTGGACATGAGGCAGCCACCAACCAGCTTCTGTATTCCTCAGAGGTGTGGAAGTGCTTCTGGCATCCCAGAGCAGCACCATCATAGAAGGAGAATCCGTGACTCCAGGAGGACTAGGGCAATGCTGGGCTTGGGTACCAACCAGATGACAGGCAGTTTGATACAAGAAATTAAATGTTCTCACCCACTGGCCTTCTTAGTTCAAAGTTTCCATTAAGAGGCCCCTGGGTGATACACAAGGTTTCCTTTGGCATCTCAGATAAGATAGTATTGGACAGTGCCTCACACCTCTGTTGGGATTTAAATGTTTACACTGTGTCCAATACCAAAAATAGAGAAAGAGAACTGAGGTCTAAAATGTCCACTTTCAGACTATAAACACTGAGAATAATACATAACACAAAAGATGCTACATATGCAACAGTGTAATACATTATTAAAAGATCCAAACTAAGCCTGTGAACTTGACTGAGTAAAACCAAGAGATAAAAACATTGACCTCTGGGCTTCTTCCCATCTGTTTCTCTAGTAACATTACCTCTACCCCTGCCCTCCCTCCCCTACTCAAATGTCCCAACCTACATTTAAATGAGCAGACTTTATATGGAGCTCATTCTGAGATGACGAGGGTCATAGGGAACTGCACAATGCTCGTTTACTTACATGAGGCTGGACATCCAACAGACAAACTTTGTTCTTAGCTAGGACAGAGCGAACTGAGTCTATACTTGTACCATAGTAGTTGTTTTTATATTCGCCATACTCAATGAACCTGTAGAAGATTAAAAGTCACTCATCAGAATAGTCTGTGAATATGAAACAAGCAGGCAGCAAGTTATACTTCATAGGCAAAAGATATTTTTGCTGAATGTGTAAAAATTTTTTTGCTGTGTTTAATAAAATAAACAGAGCCAAGCATTTCGGCAAATGTCAATTAAAAAAAAAGTCTACATTTTCAAATCAGTAACACTTGCTTGTGTTACACTTAAGCCCCAAAAAGTACTTTGGTGCTATGGAGTGCTAATGCTTTCCATCACTCCCTTTCAGAACTAATGCAATGCAATAAAACATCGAATAAGCCAAACAATAGAAACTACTGGAATTTCACTGCACACTACAGAGTAACCGAGCTGGGCACTGGAGCCACAGGAGCTGGGAGGTGGCTAATGGAACCAGGGCAGGGATTATGTGCTATAAAAACACAGTCATAGGGCCAAACTCGAAGAAAGCATTTTGATGTTTCAATAAAATCCCACAATACTGCGTTAAAACACACCCTGCCTCTGATGCCCTGAAATAGCTACACCTCAGAAATGGAAAACTGGGGGAGGGTGGAGTAGGAGCTAGCTGGAGGAGCCGAGACGATGTGTTCAATACAGCAGTACGACATGGCAGCTTTATTCAACCATTGTGAAGAACCAATGTGAGACTGAGGTATATATGAAAAAGATCACGGGGAAAACATATCATTAACATATAAAATAAAGTCCTGCCCAAATTACATGTTGAGATTCAATTATTGGACTGGACAAAGGTTACAGAAACACACTGGGAAGCTTCCCTCAAGCTTAATCTACAGGCTTAGCTGAACAGAAACATAGTAGCTCTCTAATAGTGGAAAAACAAAAAGATGGAAACGTGTAATTGCTAACGGAACCTCCTCTTTTTAAGGGCTTCAAACATTACTCTAATAAATGAAATACATTTCACATAGAAGGGAACCCTAGGCTGTCTAAAAGTAGATATACAGATACCAGTTTAAGAACAACAGGAACAAAAAAAAAATTCTACAAAATTTTCACATACTTGTTATTTTGTACATCTGTCTCAAACAAATGTTTGGAAATAAAAATATATTCCACACCATCACTCTCTTGGCTTCTTCTTGCTCTAGTGGTGTCTGTAATTTGATAGAAAAAGAGTTGAAAAAATTCTAAAGAAGTTACCTTAGAGTATTAAAAAAGAAATCAAGTACATTAAGTCAGTTTCCTACACAGGATTTGAAACCATACAGGAAAAACAAAAGCAAATTAGCTGCTAAAATACAATGCAATATAAACTCAAACTTTTCTGCTGTTGTTACGATGTTAAGACTGAAGATCTGATTCCCTCACAGATCTGATCCTTACTCATACCTCTGAAGAATCTTTAAAACAAGTAAATACATAAAAGTAGTCATATGTGTAGACTTTAATCCACTCCCCAGAATAAGACCTTTTTTTTTTTTTTGCAAATAACTGGCTTATTATATTATCTACTGATCTCTATTTGCTGAAGTAATTGTACTGCTCACTAGGTGAAAGGTATATCCTTCTCTACATAGTGCATAGCATGTTGCTCCGTATAATTAACTAAACGAAATCAAATAACTCTAGGTGTTATTCCCCACTCCTGCCAAGTCATTAACAACATCTTAATTTAGGATTCAGCTTGCAACTTTTTGACAATGTTGCCTACTTATTTTTGTGAGAATTATAAAGGGACAAAAAACACAGGATAGTGAAAGACAAAATGCAATATTTTCAATGTGGACATACATATGAAACCATACCACAGCTCCACGTCCTGCTCTTACAGTCAAAACCCTGGACCCCTGACAATTATCTGAGCACCTTGAAAATACACAAGACAAACCAGGCATGGTGGTATATGCCTTTAATCCCAACACTTGGGAGGCAGAGGCAGGTGGGTCTCTGTGAGTTTGAAGTCAGCCTTATCTACATAGTCTCAAGACAGCCAAGGCTACACAGAGAAGCCCTTTCTTGAAAAAAACAAAAAACAAAACAAAAAAAGCAAACCAAAACAAATACACAAAATAGAAAGGGTATGAAAGGCAGAGAATCTGCATGGGGAAAGGCTGACGTTGTTCTCTTAGAAGCTGTGATGTACTATAACAAGACAGGGGCTAGATTCCTGTAGGTAGTTAGGAACAAGGGTCATGCTGCAACTAATCACAGATTTTATGCTGAAAACTCATGCTGGGTTTAAAAGAAATGTTAGGGTTAAAAGAGTGGTGGGTAACACCAGAAATAAGAGACCGTAGCTGGGTAGAGACAGCCTAGCTGAGCAGGTAAGAGAAAGGACAGGGGCCCTGGGAAGCAAGGTCAGTGTCAGCAAGTTGCTGGCTGACTGCCTCCCATGAAGCCCTGAGGCACATAGGCAAGATACTGGAAACTCCTAACATCCTCAAGCTTCTGATGAAGCTAAATCAGCAGTGTGTGTGGGTGTGGGTGTATGGGATGGGGAGTGTGAATTAGGAGTGTGGAGAAGTGGAGAAAACATAAAAAGGAACACATTAATTCTCTTTAGAAACCAACATTACGATTCAAACAATGGAATTTAAGATGTGAGTATGATTAGAACACACAGATCTTGGTCCAATGGAGAAAGAAGCACATGTATTTACATGAGTGGGCATGTGGGAGCACATACATGCACACACACACGCACACACGCACACACACCACATGGAAAGGCTTAGAGAACTCAACTAAGATATGCACAGAAGCCTCATACTCTGAGTCAGAGCATACTGAAACCACAGCACATACAAATGAAGGGAACTCAAGGACTAAATATAATACAGCTGACAACATTATAGCCTAAATGTATGAATTGTTTCCAGAATTTAGATGAGGAGATGGAACTAACATATTCAAAATGTAAAAATGTAATCCAAAGCTATGCAACATAAAAGAAACAAGGGCACATTACTAATTCTCAAGGGAAACAACAACAGATAAAATCCCCTCCCCACCCCCAATGGCCCAGAGGTTAGAATATCAGACTTTAAAGCAGCTATTGTAACTATGCTTCAGAAAGGAAAAAGTATCTGAATTGGACTGAAAGCATGAAAATTTACCATAGAAACACAAACTATGGATGAGTAAGTAGAAATTCTATAACTAAAAAGTTACAACATGACAGGAACAAACCACTAGAAGGCTTGGCAGTATAAAAGAGCTTAAAAGAAAGTCAGTGAGATTGAAGACAGAGCAATTACAAGTCACAGACTGTGAATAACCATGAGGCAAACACGAAGAGGTATAAATGGAAGACCAGGGCCTATATACAAACACTGAAATGTCCATGGTATGTGTAACTGAGGTACTGGCATGTGTAACTGGGGTGCTGGCATGTATAACTGGGGTCCCAATCACGAAAACAAACTGAGAACGGTCAGCAAATAGTCCTGGGAAGGCTTAATGACCCTAAACCTGTAAATGTTAGGGGAAAAAGCACAAACTCACACACTGCAAAAGCCCATCAGATCCCAAAACAATTATTTTAAAAAGCCAAAACATGCTTAGATATTTACACACAAATCCTAAATCCTCAGTGGTGACAACATGACTTGGAAGCCTCTGGAACTTGAGCAGCATGGGGAGTGATAACCCCCAACTATCTCAGGGGGAGTGATGACCCCCAACTATCTCAGGTTTCTTTCTGTAAATTAAAACATGAAATCTATAAAATAACATTTTTACCTAACTGAAAGAAAAGAGTTATCAACCAAACTATCTTTCAGGAAAAAGTGGCAAAGTGGAGACGTTCTCAGATGAAACAATCCAGTGCTCATCACAGACTGTTCGAGAAAAGATTTTTCTAGATGGAAAGAAGTGATAAGGAAACTTGACTCTTCAGGAATAAAATGGTAACACTCAAACAGCCTGGTATGTAGACCCTTTCTCTTCTTCCCAATTCAATGCACACCCCAACCTAGTCTTGTGATATCTAAAAGTGCTTAGCATATGGCTTTGCCATCCTTCTACTTGTTTAATCAAGAGAAATAAAGACTCATGTGTTGTTCAATTCTTGTACACAAAGTTCACCATAATTGTCATATTTGTTAATAAAAAAAAGTGGGGTGGTGGAGGAACCTCAGGACCCCAGGTGAGTATGCAGACAGACTGAGGTTAGCTCCATGCCAAAAAATGCTACCCAAGAACTGCTGATGTTTGGGACATTGCAAATTCACGCTAAATAAAAAAGAATGTGCAAAGACAAATTGTTTTTCACTACGTAATTCAACATAAAGTGTCAAGGACTACAACAGTCGACAGTGAGGAGTGCGAGCAGCACTTGACAGGTGGCAGAGGGGAAAGTCCAGGAAGTACCTGGACATTTCTGAGGTGGAAGTTCTCATCATGCCTGTGATAATGCTAACACATATTCGGACACAGGCTGAAACAGACCTATGTCCATTCTACCTACTTCTATTGTAGCTTTTAATAATGTTTAATAGAAAACTAGGGAACTAGAAAAGCTGAAAATGTAAAAATTTAATTAGACATTAATTAGTTAATGAACTGTGTGGGGTATATACCACAGTAGGTGTTAACAGGATAACTTCCTGGAGCTGTTTCTTTCTAACCATCATGCAACTTCTAGGGATCAAACTCAGGCTCCCAGGCTTGGAAGCAGGCTCCTTTCCCTGCTAAGACATCATGCCAGTCCCAAAGCAATGAACTTTTAAGGCAAAATAGCTTCAATTATGTCCCAAATACTAATTCCCTTTACCAAACCAGCAAATATAATACAAAGCCCCTTCAACAGTCTCATACTCCTCTCCATGGAGCACCAAGAACTGGTGGTGTTCTTAATGGAATGTCACAGTCTTTCCAAAAGTAGAATTAGAGACCAATAGATTTTATTCCATCATGAAAACTAGCAACACATTTCACAGTAGGAAAATATTTTGTTGAGTACGTATTATATGATACATACTCAAAGCAGAAATGTTATTTAAATGAGTGCTTTTTCTGTGTTTCAAAAGGGGCTAAATCCATTTATTAATCATTTTTGTAGCTGATATTTGCTGGTGTCCCTTTATCTAATAGAAAGATTGAGAGAGAGAGAGAGAGAGAGAGAGAGAGAGAGAGAGAGAGAGAGAG